CTTGTGCTGGTTTAGCCAAGAGGGTGCTTAATGGTAAACTAACTTACCGGAAAAAAAAATTATGAGGTATTTTCATGAAGGTTGTGTCGTGTTTTTGCATTTCCAACTCTTATGCCATTTTGACATAGGTAGAGGGAAATCCCCTTCTTGCTAAGAGGCTTGTAAAAGCTTGAATTCCTTGGCCAAATTGTGTCACCTACTTAGGTTGAATTATGACAAATCTCTTAATATGGATTACCACCATGGGTAGGTTGTGTTTTGGCCGTCCGGACTACGGTTCGAGGGAGAAGCCTAAGTAACCCTTAGTCGATTCACCAAGAGAGTTACCTTAGTAGCTTGATTCGAAATCCCTTAGTGTAGTGACCGAGAGAGTGACGATTGTTCACTTGTTGTGCTTCCCTATGGTTTACAACCGTCTTTACCACACATTTGTATTCGATCCAACAAGTCATGATTACTAGCCAAGGGGAGCAACACCAGGGTGAAGCCTTCTCAATTAGTGTTCAAACAAATTACTTTTCCAATCGCTTTAGCTATAAACCATAGTTTTGACCAAAAACCATTTGCTAGATAATGTTTCAAACAATTGAAGTAGGGGGACATGGACCGGCCCGAGTTTGACTTTAAAACATACTTGCCCTATATTGCACCCGGTTAAGGTTTATACTTGGGCCTTAATCGGGATTTTTATTGTGATATTCAGGACGAGTCAAGTTTTTGACATCGTTGTCGGGGAACTTCGGTTCATTATTTTGAAAAGATTGTTTGGTGTTAATCTAGTGTTTACTTTTTGTTTTGTGAGTGTGAATCTTGCTTGTGTTAGACGAGTTGTGTTTCTTTGAAGTGTGTGCAGGATGGTGTATGACCCGGAGTAATCCGACACCTTTAGCACCACTAGAGGAGAATCTCAACCGCACTCTCCGACTCTTGGCTAGTGATAGGGAGATGACAGAAGCGAGGAGAAGCATTCAGGAGAGGGGGAAACCATAAGTTGGTCCCGAAGTTGAAGAAGTTTTAGTTGAGGAAGAGTTTGAATCGGAGGAAGAGGAAGAAAGTGAAGCCGAGATGGCGGATAATCAAAATGCTCAAGAGGGAGCTAAGGAACCCAGGACCATGGGATACTATATGGATCCACGGGTGTCGGATATCCAACCAGCCATTTTGCATCCACCCGTGGCCGCCAAAAATTTTGAGATCAAGCCCGACCTCGTCACAATGATCCAGAACAATGTGCAATTCTATGGGCTAAAGAACGAGTGTCCGAGGGAGCATATCCAGAGGTTCGTCGAGATTGCGGGAAGTTTGAATATCAATGGGGGTGCCCGAAGAGGCTTAGAAGTTGAGGCTTTTTTCCTACTATCTTTTGCATGGAATGCGCTCAAGTGGCTCAACAATAGACCACCTCTCTCAATTACCTCATGGGACGACTTGCTCAATAAGTTCATGGCCCGATATTTTCCACCTTCCATGATGGTAGAGTGGCGCAAGAAGATCACCCATTTCGCTCAAGAGGAGGATGAGTCATTGAGGGACGCATGGGAGAGGTACTCCGACTTTTTCCTCCAATGCCCACATCACGGATTTGGAGAACGGTTTTGGATCGAGACCTTCTACGGCGGTCTCCTCCAAGAAGACAAGATTCTCATTGACTCTCTATGCCAAGGGAAGTTGATTAACAAAACTCCACCCGAGATGACCGCTTTGCTTAAAGATACGGTGACAAAGGGGTATGATTGGGGTTTGACGAGACGTGGTGGAAGGGATGTCAAGAGAGGAGTACACTCCACGGAGGCAAGACCTCCGCTCGCCGCAAAGATTGATAAATTGATCAATGCACTTCTTGAAGATAAGAAGCAAGGGAAGAAGCCGTCGATGGCATGTGATTGGTGTTTGAGTACCAACTATGAGATTTCGGAGTGCTAATTGATGAAGGAAGCAAGCACCCACGAGGAGAAAGTGAGTTTCATCGCCAATGCTATGAGGAACAACAATCCCAAAAACAACACTTACAACCGAGGATGGCGAAACCATCCAAACTTCACTTGGGCTTCCCCGAGCAATCCAAGACCCCCCGGTTTCCAATGACCGACGAGAAATTATCAACCAAGGCCTCCATTCATTCAACCAATGAGAAATTAGCAAGTGGTTTTGTTCGACTGGTGATACAATTGGTTTGTACCGGTTCATTTCAGTTTAACAAAATATGTAGACATATGAAAATCTTTAACATAAAATAAATTTAATCATATACAAAATATATTTGAAGACAATTTACTTACAATCTATATTCATGTTTAAATAAAATTCGACATTCCAAATAAAATAACAAATACTAATATTTAAATACAACATTTAACGTCAATACCTAAACATTCATTAACATTCAACTTTTAAACTCAATATTTTTTATTAATTAAATATACAAAAACGACGTCTTATTGTATAGAGGTCTCAAATCCATCATGTTAATTATATCAATGGTGTTCAAATTAATTTCATAACTAGAGCCGATTAAATCAAATTCAAACGGCCAACATTGCACCTAGAATTTCATACACACGACTTCTTTTTAAGCACATAACCTATTTTCTGTACAATCTCAAAATTTTCGTTATGTGCTAATTTATGGGCCAGTTGGTTATAGTAATTCGTTTATGCAAGCTTTGTTTAATCGATTAATTCAATCCAATTTATCAACCAGAAAAAAATTAATTCAGTCCAAACTCCAAAGGCAGAGCATGAAACCTCACGACTGGTCTTAAACCCTGGAAAGATACCCATCTCCTCCTCCGGTTTCTCCTCCATCAATTCACCAAAAAAAGCTCAAATCTTGCCATCTGTCTCCCTCATGTTTCGCGGACTTTCCGTTTCCTTCTCCTTCTCCTTCTCCCGCGCCCCCACTCTTTCCTCCCCGCTTTTCCTCCACCGCCAACCCTCCGCCATCCCTCGCCGCCCCCCAGTCCGCCGGAAATCAAAACCTTTCTCCTCCAGTTCCACCCAAGTTCGCTGCTTTTCTACCACTCCCAAGATGGGCGAAACCTGGAACCCAAAACCCACAATCCCAGTTATCGAGAAGGCCACCAAGCCGGAGCTATTCCGCGCCCTGGAGTCCGCTCTAGGTTCTTCGTTCTCCGGCGACCCAATTGCCCCTCCGCCAAACCCTCTCATCATCGTGATCAGCGGGCCGAGCGGCGTCGGGAAAGATGCGGTGATCGGAAAGTTGAGGGACTCGAGGGGGGAGAATTTGCACTTCGTGGTCACTGCTACCAGCAGGCCGATGAGGCCCGGGGAGGTTCACGGCAAGGACTATTACTTTGTATCCAAGGAAGAGTTTTTGAATATGAAGGAGAGGAATGAGCTCTTGGAGTATGCGCTTGTCTATGGTGATTACAAAGGGATCCCCAAATCGCAGATTAGGGAGTTTATGGGTAGAGGGTGCGATATTGTGTTGAGGGTCGATATTCAGGGAGCTCACACGTTGAGGAAGAAATTGAAAGACTCTGCTGTGTTTATATTCTTGGTGGCAGAGAGTGAGACGAAGTTAGTGGAGAGGTTGATTGGTAGGAAGACGGAGAGTAAAGAGGATTTGCTTGTGAGGATTGCTACTGCTAGAGAGGAAGTGAGGCATGTGAAGAGTTTCGATTATGTTGTTGTGAATGCCGAGGGGAAGCTCGATGAGGCGGTGAAGTTGGTCGAGTCGATTATCGATGCTGAGAAGGCGAGAGTTCGGCGGAAGTGTGCTGCAATTTAGCTGCGACAAACAAACAAACAAAAGGTCTGTCTTTTTTTGTGGTGTTGATTGTCTGGTTGATGCTGAGAACTTGATCCTTTTTGTGTGCATGGTTCCTTGTCTCCTAACTTATGGCTGCACGTGTGCAAATTCCATTTGTGTGGAATTGGAAGGGAAAAGGAGAATCTGAAATATTTGGCAGTGATGAATAGATGCTTTCGCCAATTGATCCAGTTATGGTTCTGGTGGAAAAAGTTTATCGTACTTTCTCCTTTTGATATAATGGCTCCAGTGATGTGTTCTATTTTGTCCTCCAACACTTAGACCTATGCCTTCGTTCAAGCTTCTGGACAAAGGAGAAGTTTTCCTTTTTTTATCTGTATTCTAGTTCAGGGGTTCTAGTTCATTGGTCAATGCAATATGTCAGGTGTGGATCAGGTAAGCAATTTTGGTTGAAAAAATTACCACTTCTTATTTAGAAGGTTGTTGAGAGCAATCACATCAGAAGACAAGAAACTGCAGGAAGTGATGGTGGGACTAGCAGGAGAAGCATTCAAGTTCATGACCCCTCAGGAATCAACCCTAATGTTTCAGAGAGCTGGAATGACGAGGCTTCAATCGGTGACCATAATCGTAACTATGTTAAGAAAGTATGAGGACCCACCTACAGAGGTTCCCAGAATAAGGAGATTCTGCATAGCATTGGCGACTTGGATGATGAGGGAAAACAGAGGAAATGCTGGTGGGTTTAGAGAGTTGGGGTTTGAGAAGGATTTGGAATGTGTGTTGGAAACTACTTCTGAAGTCGAGAGCTTCAATATCTTCTCTGGAACTGTTGGGATGAGTCGTCATAGCTTATGCATCCATTCGTTGGTGGAAACTGCAATGGAGTTGCTTGTGGCACAATGAAGTGTTGATAATATAGACTCTGTAAAATAGATATTGAAGGAATTCTCAGTTACAAATGTATGTACTTATACTGGTGTTTTATACAATAATGTTTTAAAACTTTATTTTATTGATTTAGTTCAATTTGAAACAAGGATAAAAGGCGGGTCTGATTTATCAGTAATACCGAACTGGCATATAGGATAGCATCACATACTACATGAATTATGAGATCGTGCAAGACAAGACATTAGCTCATACTTAAAAGTTGCAACCTTTGACAGAGTTGTTTCCTGTCAAGAAAAGCATCTCCAATTGACCATTTCCCGATACGATCCCGAGGTAACTGTTTTTGGCGCCTGTAACTGTTAAAAAATAATATAAAAAACTCGACTCTGATCCACGGGAAAAAGGAGTAGAGAAGATCATCAAAGCACAAATTCAATCAAACAGCTCCACACGGCCACAGTGAGTAAATCATTACAAATGTCTTCCTTCTTCCTTCTCGTCAGAGGAATCAAGGGATGTAGCAGAAACCTAGATCAGCATCAAATGGGGAAAATGGGACAACATTGTAAAAAAAGCACCTATCTTTCTCTTCTTCTGTTTCTTTTTTCACTTTCTCAAGAGTATCTTTACACAAATCTGCTGGAAAACCCACCCTGATTCTATCTTTAATTACAGAACAAATGAATCTTCAACTTCAAACCGGGGAGCAGAAACCTCATAAGTTCGTCTTCCCCGTTCGTCTTTCATCATCGGTTGTTGTTTCTGAACAGGCTGAAATCCCAACGACGCATTAGACCATCCATAATGTTATGGTTCGTAGGGTTCCGTTCTACTGTTAGGGTCGCCTTTGTCTTACCTGACAAGTCAGTCACCACAATGCTGCCTGTTGATGAGGTGTCACCACGTCTGGTTGCTGTCCTCGTTGATTCCTCAATGGAAGATGGGTGTTCTGCGCTCGAAGCTTCACCATTGCTCAATGAAGAAGAGGAAGTCGATTCTGCCGCTTTTGAAACCACTTGTAGCTTCTCCTCCTTTGAATCGCCAGTCAGGACATCTGGTGCAGCTGTTACTGCGGTACTTTGTGACGATTCTGTACCTGTGGAGCTTGCTGGTACATCCATGTCCTTTAATGATGCGATTATTGCTTCCATCAGCATCTGTAGATACAGAGTGAGTTGAGGTCAAGATGGCATTAACATGGCTCTTCTTTTCAAAATTTTGGCATAATATAAGAGTACAAATGAGTGCAATATAACTCACCCTTTCTTCCTCCTCCGCATTAGATGGGGCGCCTGTCAAGTCATCCAGTTGGTATTCTACGTACTGCTCATCATCTGGCCCTGTTGGAACATGTGAGCCATATGGATTGCCATTGGAGGACAAGTTGAAGCTAATCATTTGAGAAGACGACGATGGCACGTGATCATTATCGTCAGTTTCCCCATCCTGATTCTTGGATTTGTCTTCTGTAGGTGGAATATCCGAGGGAACCTGACCAGACCGAAAGAACTCAGTAAACCATCAAGAGAAAGGACATAAGAGGATCATACAACGAAGAATCCAAATAGAAACCATGCTCATCAAGTAAACTTGAATATGTAATGCAGAGACTGCACCACAATTCATGCTTTTAATGAATACTTACTAATTCACACAACGAATTTAGCTTAATACCTCTATTTCATAACTTTTTGAATCAGATGTATAGCTTTGAGTATATAAAGTTCTCACGGAGTCGCTAATAGATTTGGAAATTTTTTTTTACCTCAATCCGACTCATAGGTCTTCTCAGTCGGACTTGCTTGATAGCATCTTCTGTGCTGCTGTTTGTCGACGATCCTGCCACTGACAAGTACATAAACAGGAAATCTGGTCAGATGCTGCCAACAAAACAAAAACTAAAAGAAAGAAACTTAGAAATAATGGATCATCATTGTAAAGTGAATACCTTTAGGTGAAACCGAAGACTCTGGGGTATGGCTTACGCCGTGGTGACTTTTCCGACTATGCTGAAGGCAGAACAAAAAAAAAAACCAAAATTGGGAATGTTGAGCATATGAATGAATTGTAAAATCAATTAACCATATAGAAGGGTAGTGATTGGAGTGCAATTTACCTTACCAAAGTAATTGATCATTGTATCAAAATAAGGTCCTGCAATCTCATCGTCAGGAGGTTGCAACACATTGTGGAAAAATATGTTTATCGAATCAAAATAAAACTGTGGTCGTGGAGAATTGTGATCTCCTTCAAATTTGATGATATTCTTGTCTCCCTGCAAAGTTTTTATGCATAAACATACCAAGTCCATGGAAGAAACCTACCAGGTAGGTTTACTTACAGTCATATGAGACGTGAAAGACATGATTTAAACTTGTTAGCCATAGAAGCAAACTTACCATGTACGCTTCATATATCCGATCAGAATGATGAGGCTGTATGAAATCATCCTGAATTGCATGCCCAAATAAAGCTGGAACGAAGCAAGACTTGGCTACCTATAATGAAGATGCATAACAAAATGATGTACAGTAATACAAGCAAAATAGTTGGACCTCACAAAAAAACTCGTCTATTTAGAACCACATACTAATGTATGTACTAAAGGGCAGAAAGGAAAAGGTTACCTTAATAGTGTTGAGATCCGTTATGTCAAACTTTGCTTTCTTCTGGATCGCTTTCCTCATGTACTGGATAGCAAATTTCACCTGAGAAGGAAACATGAGAGATTGGGTGTAAGAAAACAGTAAAACCGAGACTTGAACCTGGATCACTGACGCGGTCTCTCTCACGCCATTAGCAGACCATGACAAACCAGCCAATGTTCAAAACTGCTTACAGTGAATCTTGGAAAACGGAATTTATAGGTGTCCACGAGTTCCATCATCAAATCAACCAAATCAGAAAAGGGACTGTCCAGCACCATTCCGGCAATTGAAGGATCTTGTGCACCATACATTAGGCTGCAGCAGATAACTAGGTTGTTAGTAACTTATGTATATCACCAATTGTCCAGTATCTCTGTGATATTGGACTTGGGCAATGCCAGGGAAGAATGGAAAATGGATATCTCCTACTACTTGAGCAAGGAAATAAAATCATGCCTCTGTGTTAACAATTGAAAATTCTGCACATGCTGATGATAAGAATAAGAAGAGAGAAACGGGGAAGGAGAACCTGGTGACAGCACCCATTGACCGGCCCCATAACCCAATCAAAGAGACATTTCCATCTTGTCTCAAATAATCAACAACTGACTTCAGGTCATCTTTCTGGTAAAAACAGTAAGAGAAAATGTTAAACCATCAAAGAACCAAGAGAAGGGTATAGTAACCTCTCATGTAACAAAAATAAGATACCTAAAGCACGAATTATCTTGCCACTTACTTCATACCATCCCAGGGTAACATGATCCCCATCAGATAGTCCAGATCCAGCGAAATCAAGAGTGAAAACCGTGATATTTGAAGGCAAGAGTATGATAGCAGCTTCACTTGCATCAGCCCTGCACCCACTGCCCAAAGTAACAGAACCATGAAGATATGAATTCCAAAATAAGTCTAAATATTATGTTTCACATAAATGGAATTTGCAATCAATTGATACACATCAAGGAAAGGAGCTGTTATAAATTACACAATGCAACAGTGTCATCTTCTCTATCGTAAACACGAGTAGTACTAGATGCAGTTGATTCAACAAGGTGTCATTCCTCATTTACCTGTTTCCATGGCAATAAATTACGCAGGGCAGTGGCTTTCCTTCGGGACTCACGATGGGGACATAATGACTGCACTGAAGAATGTATCCTCTGTTGTTCTTAATCTGAATAATAGTTAGGAAACAATGTTGAATAACCATATATACTAAAACCAAATGAAAGAACCATGAAAGTTTTTCATCAATTCATAATAGATAAGCTTCCAATGGTTCACCTCAACATCCTTTCGCTGGTATAGTTTCCCTCCCAGCATGAACTCCGGCTCCAACAAATCATGTTTGGGGCTGTATTCAGCTCTGCAGCCAGATAAATCTCAAATCATGCTCGTTCCCAATTTAGAAAATCTTAAGCATGCTCGTTAGATGAGTTTTACCTACCGTGAAATTATGACTAAGTACTCAAACCATTAGTTACTGGAAGCCTACTAGAAATACATAGTTGCAACAACTGAGAAGAAAGTAAGGTAAACTACCCATTAACAGACGAGCCATTTCGTCTTGAGGAACTAAGATCCTAGCTGATAATAGACCACAATATTGCTAGAGCAACAACAAGAGATCAGCTCAACAACACAGGGGGAACAAATAAATTACCTTAATCCAACTAAACCTATTACGAACAATAAAGGATCCCCTATTCCCGAAATCCTAAAAACATGAACTAAACCTAGATCACTTGATGTTTGGCCAGAAAGTGAACTTTTAGATCAAACCCAATTCGAATCTTACACTGCCTTCTTCTCTTCCACAACTAAATTCAAATCACAATTCCAATCTTCCAGGCTAATTTAGTACAAAAATTTCAGTCTTTCTCTCCAACCCAGATTCAAAAACCACTACTTTTACATCAGAATCACAGGTTTTTCCCCCTGGGAACCAAACAGAATCCAGCGCGAAGTCCCAAAAATTACCCAATTGAGAATACAAGAGTAAAGATACGAAATTCGCCACAGGTAATGTCGTTATCCATACCTGGGCGGGCGTATGATAAAGTTGACGAGCTGCTCCATGAAGAGAAGATTCAAAAAGCCAGGACTTTTGGATCTTATATTTCCCCAAAAAAGATTTCCCTTTTCTGACTCCCTTTTGGAAACCTCTTGAGGCCGTAAGTCCTGCTGCTATTGAAGAAAGACTAAAATATTGGAGAAGACAGGAAATCCTGCAGATGGGTGAAGAAGCAACGGTGTCAGTTGGGTTGATGGAATCGAAGGAAGGAAGGAAGGAAGGAGGGGAGGGCTAGAAGAAGGAGATGTGGGGGTAAACAGGAGAATTTCAATGAAGGGGAGGAACTGGGGAGACAGATGGAACAGAAAGACCAGGAGGGAGAAGGAAGATCACTTTAGTTTGCCGGGGAAGTTGTTTAATGGTGTTTTGGATTGTTGCTTGCTTCCTTTCCCCCCTGGTATGGTGGTGTTGTTCTAGTTGCCTTCCATTTGTTGTTCTATTTTTTCACTCCACCAGACCACCACCAAGCCAATTTCTCTCTCTCTCTCTCTCTCTCTCTCTCTCTCTCTCTCTCTCTCTCTCTCTCTCTCATTACACTGTTCCGCTTCTGCGATATTCACACGTGGCATATACTCAATTAAGTTGGGCCTCATACTTGAGGAAGAAGACAAACCATAAAGATCGCGATCCCGATCCATAAGTTGTGTGTCATTGGACTTGGCCTTCTGAGCCCAAGACTGTGAGACCCAAAAGGTAAGTGGAAAAGCAAAGTGCACGGTGAGTCATTTCTCAAAGTTTATACTGCTCACCAGAAGTTGCAGGCTGCAAATGCTCACCAACGACTTGACATCAGACTAGAAAAAGAAAAGAAAAAAAAAAATCTTTGAAGTTCTGTAAGTTTATATTGAGTTGGGTTTGAGTTAAGACTTATACCGTTAGCGAACCAATTTAATATGGTGGCTTGTTGAATTGGTCTGTAAGTGTGGTTAGCGGGCCAGTTTGACTGGTGACTTATTAGCTAATCGATTTTATAATTTATGAATTGATTTGTTGATAGTTTATAAGATCGGAATAGTCATTAACGTATGCGTTGTGATCTGCCATCATTAGAAGAAGCAAAAGAACTTATGATACCAAGAGTTTGTTCCATATGTTAGTGATTCAAATTGATTTGAATGAGCTTCATTTATACTATTTTAAGTTACTCAATACTCTCTCTTATCAATTATACCCAAATGGGAGACATCTCCTCATTGATTTGCATCAGTCCAAAAATGCAAAGACTAATTCAAATTATGCCAACAATGGCAATGGCATCTCCTTATTGTGCAGGCTGATGAAGAAGGATGTTGGAATGTGGGATCTTCACATTCTTCCAAAATGGCAAGTAATTGGTTCCAAGTTTGCACCCAAATGGGAGAGGAATTATTTGAGGCAAACGGCTATTATATTCCATCATATGATGTGAACCCATCGCCCACTTTACTTTCTTCTTCTCTCACCAATTACCAAACCCACAAATCCCCATTTTGATGGGTGCGGAATTTCTGAGTTTGGCAGAGACGTTTGGGCTGCTTGAAATGTATATTTCTTCCTGGAAATGCAAGTTTAAATTTGAGGTCAAGTGAGTTGGTCACTTATGTTGGCAAAGATGGAAAAGAGGTTACTTACTACCAAATTTTATAGGTAATGCCACCTACCAATAAGTGATTTTCAGCCACGTTTTGTAATGAGTTGTTGGCACCACTAGGAGTAGTATGTTCGTGTCATATGAATGGTGGTTCTTGTCAGATAAATTTAGAATGTGTATGATTTTTTTGTAGTTGTTGTTGTGATGCAATTTTAATATGATATAGAGCATTTGGTGTATTACGATTTCTAATCTGCAGAACAAAAGGAGCATAAATGAATTCAGTAATACAAAATATAACAGTAAGCGTTATAAGATATATAAATGAATCATTGTTGACTAATAAATGGATTGTGAGAACAAAGGAAACTCCCTTCTTATCGTTACCATGTGGTAAACAATGTGAATTCTTTGGCAGGGATTATAGTTGGCCATTGAGTAAGACCAAAACCATACAAGCAGATGTTTAGGGTAATCAAATGATTAAAGATAAGGATGAGATTTAGGGTTTGGATTCATCAATTGTTGGTATATTCACTTCTGTTACCGGTTACCACAAAGGATGAAAGGAGGAATATTTTTTCTATCTGGTTTAGGAAACCAATCATATGTCATAATCACCAATAGAACACTGCAAACAAAGAACATATGAACTGAAAAATACAAAGCTATCACAGTTTTCTGTTCTTAGCCTTACATGGGTTGAGAAGGAAAAGGTAATTTCATGGTTGATGTCTAAATTGTCACTAAACTATACTATGATGTGTATAAATTGCGCAAAAATTATCATTAACTGGAAAAGAATTAATTCGATTGAGTCTATAGATCAAGTATGGATATAGGTTAGGCATAGCTTCGAGTTATAATTTTGATCGAGAAAAGTTGAACAAAATAGTAAAAAGAAGTCCAACGAGTGTTTGAGATGCTAATTTAACAATTTTATTGAAGTCGAGAACATTATATTAGTTCTATCTAACTAACATAAACTAGACAAAGTTAGGTAAGATTATTGTTCGGTGAAGATCACCATGTTTGTTAGAATTGTTAGTTAAATCGCCATGTTTGTACAAATTCCACTGCTTTATGACGATGTAGGCCTTTAACTCATTGAATGTATCGATCAACTTTGAGTGGGGAAGAAGATTGAAACATTATCCTTTTTTAAGTGTTATTTTTGTAGTCCACGGATCTCTTGGTGCAACTAAAGAGACCACAATCCAAATGCCATCCACACATGGTGCCTTACCCCTAACTGCTAAGGAAAAGCCAACACACTCTTTTGTTTTCTAGTTGGGATGAGAAACCCAGAAAGAAAAGCCCTCTTTTAATAGGAGCCTCTGAACACAAAACCCCTCCAGCTCACTCACTTTCTCCACCCCTCTTTAATTTCTCTTTAGTTCTCTGCAACTTCCCATATTCTTTGGTCTGCTCTCCAACCCATTTGCAGGCATTTCCCCCGGCCGGTAAGCCTTCTGTAAAGCAGCTCTCTTTCTGGCATTTGGGTTTCTGCAACATGCATTTTGATTTTGCCATGCTTTGGAGTCCATAGTTTTGGGGTGCATTGCTAGGGATCCGTTACTCAGATGATTGCCAATTCCCATCTTGAAGCACTACCCATTTCCTTTTAGCATGTGGTTTAAGCTACTGAGAGAATCTGCAATCATTTTCTTTTCTGGGATTCATGCTATATGCTTTGGTTAAAAGACGTTTCACATGTTTCAGTGGTGTGTAGCGCAGATAAAAAGGTGAGACCTTTATTGGTGGTGAGTGAATTATATGGATATGGACTTTCTTATGAGGAAGTTTAGACCATAGGTTGACCTGGTCCACCATTGCTTTTTCCCTGGTCCACATCATCAGATAGGGTAGCAGATCACACCCACCCAAATCATCGTTTGAGAGCTTTGATGATCAGCTGCCATTAATCTTTACTAGGATGAACTTGTTCCAGCATACTATAAACCCCAAAAGAAGCCAAATTTACGAATAAACCAAAGGGGAAATAAGTTTCCAGATACCAGATTTGTTTGACAAATGGGGAACTGAGCTGTTGGTATGTCCCTTCTTATGGCCTATTCATCTACCAATGATTGAACACAAGTAGAGTTGGTGCCCTGGTGGTTGATATCGATGTTTTCGTTATTCTGCTTGTAAACATAAAGGAAGAAAGCCCTTTGAGTTGACGTTCTTGTCGTTTCATTTCTCAGTTTCTATAGTGTTTGATTTCTCAAATCTACGAATTTGTTTACTTGGTTCTGGGAGTTCCAGGGGTTTAGGGAGTAGGCGAAAATGGCCCATATCTTGGCACCATCAGCACAATGGCAGATGAGGTTGTCGAACAAGGTGGCAGCACCTGTCAATCCCATGACAGGAAAGATGTGGAGTTCCTTGGTGATGAAGAAGAAGGGAACTACAAAAGGTGCTTCCAAATTCCGCGTCTTTGCAATCAAGGCCGAGAACAGCACTATCAATAGGCTAGACAATCTCTTGAACTTGGATATCACCCCATTCACTGACAAGATCATTGCTGAGTACATCTGGTATGTATGCCCTTCTCAGCTACCAACTTCCACATGGCATGATTGTTCTTCTTATTCATTCGTTCATTCATTTGTTGCGCCACAGGATTGGAGGATCGGGCATTGATCTTCGAAGCAAAGCAAGGGTACGTTACATAAGCAACAAAGAAATTTGGCAGTCTAGTTTGTTCTCCAAAGTGTAATGGCTATTTCTTTTTCCTTATATCAACGGCTCTATTGAATTCAACAGACAATTGAGAAGCCTGTGGAGCATCCATCTGAGCTTCCCAAGTGGAATTATGATGGATCAAGTACCGGGCAGGCACCGGGAGAAGACAGTGAGGTTATTATATAGTAAGATATCTTCTGCTTAAACAATCAAACTGATGTGTCTTTCTCTATTTTCACTTCTGATTGATATTGACTTTAACCTTTGATTCAGCCCACAAGCAATTTTCAAAGACCCATTCCGTGGAGGTAACAATATCTTGGTGAGTGCTTATTTTTATCAAATCGACTCGTCGTAATGGTATGACCCAAGCAAGTTCTTCGACAGTATTTGCTCATCGCCTGATTTTCGTCTCTCTTCAATAAAGGTCATTTGTGATGCTTACACACCAGCTGGTGAGCCCATTCCGACCAACAAGCGTTACCGTGCTGCTCAGATCTTCAGTGACCCGAAGGTTACAGCTGAAGTTCCATGGTATGCCATTCTGATATTTATATGAAATGGTCGCTAAACGTCAGGGTCACTAACTAACTTGTTACTGAAGTTCAAAATAATCAAAGTAGCAGCCATTTTGTCCCTCCCAGTAACATTGTTGTCCAAATTAGCATGCAAACACGCACCCCAATTAATAATACAAGACCACTTAGGCCCTTATTAGCTGAGGATTTTCTTATATCAATTTGGGTGGGTTGGCACATTAATTTGGTCGGAAAACTTAATGGAGCCATATTGAGTTACTGTTGTGTTAGTTATCTAAACTATAGTAACATAAGTCATTAAAGATTTAAGTTGAGGGACATATATTCATATTCCTACTCATTACAATAAATTCAATCTGGTGTGTAACCGACTGACAAGAATTTTCAACTGTAGGTATGGCATAGAGCAAGAGTACACATTGCTTCAACAAAATGTGAAATGGCCTTTGGGTTGGCCAGTTGGTGGCTACCCTGGTCCTCAGGTATTGTTACTCATCAGCTACTTCCCAAAATTCAAGTTACTGAATTCATGTAATGTGACTAAATGCATAATAACTGATCCTACTCTGTACTTTGTCTCAGGGTCCTTATTACTGTGGTGCTGGGGCAGATAAGTCCTTTGGTCGTGATATATCAGACGCACACTACAAAGCTTGCTTGTATGCTGGAATCAACGTTAGTGGCACCAACGGAGAAGTCATGCCTGGCCAGGTTTGCCTCTCATGTCTTCTGTCTTTCCCCCACGTTTTGTGTAACAACTGAAACCACTTATTAGAAACTCGGTATGTCTTCCTTTGTCACCTTCTTACTCTCGAGTTCCTATTGCAGTGGGAGTATCAGGTTGGTCCTAGTGTTGGCATTGATGCTGCAGATCATATCTGGTGTTCCAGATACATTCTTGAGGTATTTTTCATAAAATTTGACGTCCTTTTACCAGACGATGAACATCAAAGCTTTGTACTTCAACTTTTTGTTGGTGGTCCTGACAGAGAATCACAGAACAAGCTGGAGTTGTGCTGTCCCTTGACCCAAAACCAATTGAGGTACTACGTACATTCATGTTTTCTTCTAGCAAACTTCTGTCAATGCAAGTAAAGAAACTCACACAAAGCTTCTATTGATGCGAGCAGGGTGATTGGAACGGAGCAGGATGCCATACCAACTACAGGCATTTGGATTTTCTCTTTACTTTATCAAAACAAATGCTTAGGTTAAGTGAGACAAGTTATATAACAAAAGCTGTTGTATGTGGTTGCAGCACAAAGAGCATGAGAGAGGATGGAGGGTTTGAAGTGATTAAGAAGGCTATCTTGAATCTATCTCTTCGCCATAAGGACCATATAAGTGCTTACGGTGAAGGAAACGAGAGACGACTGACTGGAAAGCACGAGACTGCCAGCATTGACCAGTTTTCTTGGGTATGGATGGCAAATTACCATTTCTTTCCTTCCCTACACTTGATATGTGAAGTCAACTTTCTTGCATCATGTGTATGATTGTTTTTGGGAAACCCAACATGCAGGGAGTTGCTAACCGTGGTGCCTCAATTCGTGTGGGACGCGACACTGAGAAGAAAGGCAAAGGTGCAAACTTTTCCGGTTTCTGTGCATGTTTTTAGCTCTCTTATGGTTAAAGTTATGTACTAAGCTCTGCGTATTCATGGCTGCTAGGTTACTTGGAGGACCGTCGCCCAGCCTCAAACATGGACCCGTACATTGTGACTTCATTATTGGCTGAGACTACACTCTTATGGCAACCGACACTTGAGGCTGAAGCTCTCGCTGCCCAGAAGCTGGCTTTGAAGGTCTGATGAGAAATGGTTGAAGAAAAACAGAAGGTCAATTAAGGATGTCAACAACGATTTCTTTCGATTTAGTGGTTCAGGCTGAAGGCAGCATCGGATTTTTCTTCCTCCTAGCTCTTCATGAAAAGATCCGTGTAAATAAATGTTCCTGAATTGCCGCTGTCGAAGGTCAATCGCCCTGAGACTGATGAATTGTTGCTCTCTTTCCAATAACTTCTGATTCTTGATGCTTGGACAATGAATAGACCTGAAATCACCTCATGCCTTTTGAGAAGTTTAAACGTTGTCCTCTCCCTTTCATCTTCTGGAGATTCTCCTCTCTTTTTGCCTAAAGTTTGGGAATAGCTACAGCAAGAGAATAGCAATCATTGTAGGGTCAGGAGAAGCCAAAATGATTGCATCATTTTTTGCAGGAAGCCAGGATCTGTTATTCCTTTGCTTCCCCTGCAGGCAGAAAAAAGGCTTATTCTTCCAGGATAAAGTGATACCTAACTGCTGCATATAATTATCCAAACTAGCTCCTCTTTCAGGTCCTGAAAAATTTATTCCTTCCCTTCCATAGAGGCAAACCCAAATGAAGGGGGAAAGAAAGGCATTAGAGGCATTCCTTAGGAATCAAGACAATCCAATTGTATAATGCGAGGTTCCAAGTATAAATTCAGTGCTTCATCTAACCACAACCACATTGCCAAGCTTGGAATTCCTCTGAACATTCCTTCATAGTTCGCAGTAAAAAATCCACCATGGCTTCAGGAGCATCTAGATCTGCATCCTTACTTCTCTTGATCCTCAACATGCTTCTCTACTTCATCATCATTGTCATTGCTTCATGGGCCATAAACCATGCCATTCTCCGGTCACAAGCAGGTAAAAAAATTCACGGTTCTTCTAAGGTTTGGTTCTGGAAATCGTGGAAATAAATTATATCCTGAACCATGTTTCTTCTTGCTTGTGCACCAAAATGGCAGCTTCTGTCCTATCCATCCCAGCTCGGATCTTCCCCATATTCTTCCCCATGGGTAACATGGCTACCGGATTCTTCGTCGTGATCTCCCTCCTGGCTGGAATCGTGGGCATCACCACATCGTTAACTGGAATCCAGAACGTTATGGTCTCGAATGCAGCGAATCTCCATGCTGCAGCTTCATCTTCCCTGACTTCCTTGGCACTCACGCTTCTAGCCATGGGGTATGCTTTTTGCTGCTGCTTTTTTCAGTGCCAAAATTGTATTGGGAAGATGTTGCGAGGAGTGAGTTTGGTTTGTCTATTTTATTGCAGATTGGCGTGTAAAGAGATTGACATAGGGTGGACTGATGCAAACTTGGTAAGTAGGAAACCCACCTCAAAAAGTCATGTTCTTGCTTGCAGTACAAGCATACTCATTATGACCAGTACATCATTCTTTCTCATTTGCTGAAACAGAGGACTCTGGAAGTGATAACCATAGTTGTGAGTGCAACCCAGTTGCTGTGCACCGGAGCTCTTCATGCCGGAGCTGAAGAGGTTGAGACGCGACGGAGGATCCTTGGCTAGTAGGAAGAAGAATTTGAATATTCTTCTACCACCACCCTCATTGTTTTCATGACAGCTCTCTCAATTTCTCCTTTCCTTCTTCCCTTCTTTTATTGTGAGTGAGAGTTGTAATTCAATAGCATTGTTTCTTGTTGATTTGTGATCTTTAAGCTTTTACCTTGTTTGGCACATTAAAGACTATGTTGTAGTGTTGGCTTTTAATCACCAAAAGACACAAAATTGAGTTTAACCTGTTCATACTAAAGCTTAGTTTGGCCATGCGGTAGCTTTTGCAGAAGCAGCTTTTGGCTGGAGCTTTTAGATAAGTACTTTTCAAAAAAAGCAGTTGAGTGTTTGGCTGTAAAACTATTAGAAGTGCTTTTTAAAGTAGTCAAAATGGATCTTGTTAGATTTCTTTTATATTAAATAATATGATTTTATAATTTATTTTATTTTTAAAATGATATAAATAAAGGAAAATTATATTTTCTGAAATAAAATTAAAATATGGTAAGGATAATCTTGTATTTTTAAAACAGCTTTTCGCAGAAGCTCTAAATCAGAGCTTCTGCTTTATGATATACAAAAGCGCTTTTCGGCTTTTCAAAAGCCGAGCTTTTACAGGTGTTTGGCCCTGCTTCAGCTTTTGAACCCGAAAAGCACTTCTAAAATCCGGGCCAAACATAGGGTAATACTCATTGGATTTTATAGCATTAAAATCGGATCCATCAACTTCGATCAATTGTTGTTCCATTCATCAAATTTGTTATATTATATTATATAGAAGGGTTAATTGTATGGTTGGTCACTGAGATTACAAAAAAGCGTTCATGTTTGGTCACTGGAAATATTTAAATCCAACCTTGGTCACTCAAATTAGTTATATGGTTCAAATTTGGTCACTCTCCGTCCAACTCCGTTAAATTTGTCTGATGTGGCAGTCAACCCTCAAAGTTGACCTTTAACTCGGTGATGGGACAATTAAAAAATAATAAAAATAATAAATTTTAATCTTCTACCATTTCCAACTCATTTTCACAATAAATTAAAAAAAATTATTATTATAATAACACGAAAACAACATACACAGGGCAGGTCGATCTGCACTCACTATTCACTACTACACATGTTGTGGTTTCTTTCCGCCGAAGCTTGATCTGAAATTTTCACGACCCTACTCCAGTAATCCCTGGTGAGTAGCCTTATTATTTGATTCACCTGCCTGCCATCTGTTCGACGAAATGCCCCAATGAGTTTTTTAACTTTTTTTTTGTTTTTCCAGCTCCTATATTTCTTTCGGCTGCAGCGTCCAGAAACAGAACCCACGGAAATGGTCACTTGCTTCCCTTTCTCAGCCAAGAAACTGGGGGTGACAGTGGCCTTGTTTGTCGGAGCAGCTGTGATCATGGGTTACGCTGCGCATCTCTCGTACGTCAACGTCGCTCCTCAACAGGCTCGTACTACAGATCGGGATGAGTTAGTCAAGGAACGAATGAGACAGAAGCATGGCTATGGCAATTGAAAATGTCTTTTTTCCTCTCCAACCAGTGTACTTATTTCTTCTTCCTTTCTTTCTGCAAGCAGGATTCTCATACTACAATATAAAAACTAGCATATTCTTTCAGGAGGAAAAAGTCTTTTTTGAACTTTAGATGAATGCTATCAACATACACAGGACAGCGCATGTGATAGATTGTTCTGTGAAATCCGGGACTAGACTGGACTTTCCATTTAGTGAAACGAGCTGCACTTCAGTTTAGGCCAACCCCCTTGTTTCAGTGTCTCATTGTCTTACATTTGAAGCTCATCATCGCCTCAACTTCGACGGTTTCATTCTTGAAGGAGGCGAAGGCAGTGGAAGGGATGTGGTGGCGGAGGGTGGTCACAGCGGCGGGGATCGGGCCGGAGAAGGAGTTGGAGCGCAGGGTCAGGGACTGGAGGGAGGCGATTGAACCGATGGAGGCGGGAATGGGGCCGGAGAAGTAGTTGTCGGCGAGGTCGAGGGTTAGGAGGGCGGTGAGGTGGGAGACGAGCGGGGTGAGCTGGCCCGAGTAGCCGGCCGGGTCGAGGGTGAGTTGGGTGACCCGGGTGGAGTCAGGGGAGCCGGCGACGCCGCAAACGAAGTGGGTGCGGCGAGGGAGGGAACATGGGTCGGCCGCGGCGAAGTCCCAGGAGGCGAGGCAGGACCAAGGCGGGATGGAGGCAGGGGAGATGGCCGATTTCAGAGCTTTCAGAGCCGAAACGTCTTGTGGGGAAGTGAGAGCTGTTAGGTAGGGTAGAAAGGGTTGAACGCAGAGAACAATTGGAAGAAGAAGAAGGAGGAGGTGGGAAATGGAGGAAAGCTGCATTTTTGTTTTGTTTTCGTGTTATTATAATAATTTTTTTATTTTTTTTATTTTACTTTATTGTGAAAATGAGTTGGAAATGGTAGAAGATTAAATTTTATTTTATTTATTATTTTTTAATTGCCACGTCACCGAGTTAACGGTCAACTTTGAAGGTTGACTGCCACATCAGACAAATTTAATGGAGTTGGACGAAGAGTGACCAAATTTGAACCATTTAACTAATTTGAGTGACCAAGGTTGGATTTAAATATTTTCAGTGACCAAACATGAACATTTTTTATAATCTCAGTGACCAACCATACAATTAACCCTTATATAGAACATGAAAGCTGGGTATGCTTTATTATCCTCAACTTTTTGCTACTGTTTCACTATTTGTCGTCTAGCTGGTCTAGCTGTCCTCTGAGACTCTGTCCTCGCGGCCATTCCCCAAATCTCCACCCCCAATCCTCGCCCAAATCTCGCCAGCCACTCAATGGTACAATCACCTCTGCAACGCACTCCAGAACGCCACCCATTTCAGCACGTAAGCATCCATGGAGCCACCTACCTCCCCGTAAGTATCCTTTCCCAATACCTAACCCCCTTTCCAGCATATGCTTTTATAGCTTTCTTTGAACCCAACTCATAATAGTACTCGCAAATTTTTTCTCTCTGTGTGGCTCTTGAGATAGGGGAATTGTGGGGGAAGATTTTCCTGTTTTGCTTGCTTTTTTGTGGTTTCTCTTTCTTTTAACCTTTTTTGTTGGGTTCGTTGAAATTTTTTGAAGAAGATGGGTTTAGAGCAGAACGACAAAGCAAGCTTTCCACCAGCGGAGTCGAAGATACAGCTGCTATTTTTTTGTTTGGCGTCCAACATGAGCCACTGGTCCAAGTGGTACACAAAAATACAGGTTTCCGAGGAACAAGCGGTGTCGGCCAAGGCGGCCATGGGAAGACCCTCAGCTTAAAGTCAAAGAGGCCCATTTCGGAAGCTGAATCAATCGTCGGCGCCATCAAATCTGCAGCGCCAGCGGCGGAGCAGGTGATTACAGTTGAGAAATCATTAGCAGCGGCGATGGGTTCATCGTTGTTGGATGCGGCGGCAGCCAAGGTGGTCAAGGCGGCGAATAGGAGGGTCTGTTTGACGAGGTTTAAGAGTAGGTGCGGCAGCTCTTTCTGCGGTTCTCATAGGTACCCAGAAAGAACCACGATTGCGACTACGATTTCAAGGAAGCTGGGAAGAATACAATTGCTGAAGCAAATCCGATCATCAAGGATAAAATGGAATTATGGATTCTCAGTTGTCACATATTTGGTACTTCTTTTGAACCGTTTTTATAGCTTTTCTTATAAACTCTTTTGAGTTTGTAAAAGCCTTCTAGGTTTGGAGAATTGGCAAACCCTCAAACTAGAGAGTTGCCTCCTGATTCCATTATATACCATTGTGTTCTGATAAAACAGAATCACTCCACAGTTAGCCAAGTGGCAGAATGTCATTGGCCATTACAAAATAAACATTGTTCTTAACAACGACTATTAACCAAAAGTGAAACGACAGCGTTCGATATAATAAAACACAAGCTTCTTCTGAAACGTTTCATCATCGAAACTCCTTCTCCTTCCTCGTAATCCAGATTGCTTCAGGACTCTTCTGCAACTTGATATCTTCACTTGGTTGACACCCCCCTTCAACTTGTGGCATCCTTCAAGATTCCCAACTTGCTTAGCAGCTCCTGGACGCGTACCCTGTGAAGACTTTTAGTAAAAATGTCAGCCAATTGATTAATTGTACTGACATGTTGCAGCTGTATCAATCCATCCTTAATTCTTTCTCTGGTGACATGCATATCAATCTCGATATGCTTTGTCCTTTCATGAAACACCGGGTTCTTAGCAATGTGGATTGCAGACCTGTTGTCACAATAAACAGTCACAGGTAATCGTACTTTAACACTCAACTCAGCCAACAGACTTCTCAGCCACTCAATTTCACAAACCATTAGAGCAAGAGCTCTATATTCAGCTTCTGATGAAGATCTGGAAACCGTGGTTTGCTTTTTAGACTTCCAGGTGAGTAATGATCTTCCAATAAAAGTGCAATAGCCTGTGGTGGATCTCCTGCTGTTAGGACAGCTTGCCCAGTCAGAGTCACAGAATCCAGTGAGTTTCAGTTCTGCTTGGCTGCTGAAATAAATCCCTTGTCCTGGAGATGTCTTAAGATATCTAAGCACTCTATGTGCTGCTTGCAAATGATCACTGTAAGGTTCTTTCTGGAATTGGCAAAGTTGCTGCACTGAGAAAGTAAGATCAAGTCTAGTGATTGTGATATAATGTAATCTTCCCACTAGCCTTCTGTACACTTCAGGGTCTTCCATCTTAGTTCCTTGTCCTGCTGCAAGTTTTACATTAGGATCAGATGGAGACAAACAACCCTTAGCTTCTAGAAAACCAGTGTCATTCAGCAGCTCCATACAATACTTCCTCTGACAGACAGATAAACCTTCTACAGTTCTTGTCACTTCCAATCCAAGAAAATATTTCAAAGGACCAAGCATTTTAACTTTAAATTCACCACATAATGACCTTTTAATATGATCTATATCCTTCTGTGCATCTTCTCCCACTATGATATCATCCACATAGACTAAAATCACCACAATCCTGTCATGAATCCACTTGGTAAACAAGGAATAATCAGATTTGGACTGTGAGAACCCATTCCTCAATAAGAAACCTGTCAGTTTAGAGAACCACTGTCTTGAGGCTTGTTTCAATCCATACATTTACTTCTTTAGTCTGCAAGCCATCCTTACATTGCTGGATCCTGGTATTTCAACTCCCTGAGGGATCTCCATATAGACTTCTTCAGTCAAGTCTCCATGTAAGAAATCATTGGAGACATCTAACTGTTCAAGAGTCCAATTCTTTACTGCTGCTATTGCCAATAGGGCTTTTACTGAATTAATCTTTGCTACAGGTGAAAAAGTGTCAAGAAAATCTATTCCATACACCTGAGTAAAGCCTTTTGCAACCAGCCTAGTCTTATACCTTTCTATTGTACCATCTGGCTTCAGTTTGAGTTTAAACACCCATTTTCTCCCCACTACATGTTTATCTGGGGGCACTGGTACTATTTCCCATGTCTGATTGGCATCCAATGCTGCAAGTTCCTCATTAATTGCTCTCCTCCATTCCAAAACTTGAATAGCTTCTCTGTAGCTTCTAGGTTCCACACAAGTCAGAATACTCAATGCATAAGCTTTGTCTGCTGCATTGAGGTGATCTAGATCAAATGTGACAGGATGCCTAGTCACAGCAGCTCCAAAAGCTCCAAACTGCAATTGAGGATCCAAAACACAATCTTGGTACTTAACAGGGAGGACAATCTTTCGAGTAGGTCTACCAGTAGGTTCCTCATATGGTGCATGTGGTTCCAATTCAGGTTCCAGTTCTATACCAGGTGAAAACTCATTGGATGAGGAAACCTCCTCAGAACAACTACTGGATGGATCCCCCCTTGAATCACAGGCTGTAGGAGGTGGTGAGGTAGTGGGAGCTAAGATTGGTGGAGCAGGAGTCACCACAGGGAAAGGAGAAGAAGGGAGATCAGCATCAGGGGAAGGTAAATCCTGTGTGTCTGATGAGCTTCTAAATGGTAGAATTGATTCATAAAAGACTACATTTCTGGAAACAAAAACCTCCCTGGTCTGCAAATCAAGCAACTTATATCCTTTAATCCCAACTGGTAAACCAATAAAAACACACTGTCTTGCACGAGGTGCAAACTTAGTTCTACCACTGACTAAGGTGCTTGCATAACACAAGCATCCAAACACACGCAAGTGACCCAACAGAGGTGAGGTTTGGTATAGAACTTCATATGGAGACTTGTTGTCAAGGACTGGAGTAGGCAATCTGTTTATGAGATAGGTGGCATGCAGAATGCAGTCACTCCAATAGGTTAAGGGAAGTCCTGACTGAAATCTAAGAGACCTAGCAACATTTAAAATGTGCTGGTGTTTCCTTTCTACACATGTTGAACTCCTGCCTGGTGTCTCTATACAAGACATCTGATGTTCAATCCCATGTTCCATATAAAATTCACACATGTTGAACTCCTGCCCTTGGTCACTTCTGATCACTTTAACACATTTACCAAACTGATTCTGTACAAGAGTGCAGAACCCTTTAAGAAGAGGTCTAGCCTCACTTTTGTGTTTCATCAAAAACACCCACATAGCCCTTGAACAATCATCCACAACAGTCAAAAAGTAGGCAGATCCATCATAAGAAATCACAGACAAAGGCCCCCATATATCAACATGAATCAAATGGAACAAATCATGTGCAATACTGGTGCTAACAGGAAAAGGTAGTTTCTTATGTTTGGAAAGATGGCAGACATCACAATGTTTAAACTTAGGACTGGTTACAGAGGAATCTGTTTGTTGTAACAAAGAAATCCTATCTTTACTAGGATGCCCTAATCTCCAATGCCATAGGTCTACTTGTTGAGGATGAAAGTTGAAAGAACTGGCTGCTTGAGGTAGTGGAATGGATGGTTGGTCTTGTTTTGGTTGGGAAAAGGTGAGCTGGTACAGGCCTCTACTCTCTTTTGCTAAACCAATCATCTTCTTTGTTAGCAGGTCCTGGATTTGGCAGAAATCAGATTGGAAATGTAAGGCTAAAGGATGATCATGGGTGAGTTTACTAACAGACACAAGGTTAAAGGAGAAACTAGGGACAAACAGAACATTGTATAAAAGGAGTCCTGAAGGCAATCTAACAGTTCCTATATGTGTCACAAGGACTTTTGTGGCATTTGGTAGGTAAACAAACATGTTGTGAGTCACTGTATGCTCTATGAAAAGAGATAGAGAGCATGCAGTATGATCTGATGCTCGTGTGTCTAGTATCCAAAAGTCAACAGGATCTAGATTGCTATGTTTTGTGTGTGAGGAAAGGATGAATTTACCTGAGAAATTAGGAAAAGGAGGTAGATACTGGGACACTGAGTAGGCATGGTGTGAAATGGAAGGTGATTGAGGTGGTGAAGGGCTTAGGTTAGCACCAGTTTGCATCATTGGCCTAAGTCTGTTAACCTCTTCAGGAGTAAAGGCTGCCACTACCTTTGCTGGACTCACAGGACTACCATCTGGTGTGTCACTGTTATAGCTTACCTTAGTTGATGAGTCCCCTGAACTTGCTTGAGAGACTGACCCTGCAAACTTTGGTGTGGTGGATCCTCCAAAGCTGCTACCACCATCAGCATCCTTCTTTCTCTTAGCCCTCAATCAATCATCAACCACATGACCAGGCCTTTTGCAATAAATGCAATATTTTCTTCCTTGACTCCTCTGTCCTGATCCTGGAGGTTGAGTTTCTGCTGCTAAAGCCACACTCTGAGCCTTCTTTCTAGTGCTTCCCTTCTCAGCCTTCAATTTCTGCTCATATTGCAGCAGATCATCAACTGCTTCTGACACAGTAGGCAAAGGCTTCTGTGCAAGCAATTGACTCTTGATTATCTCAAAGTCTGGGTTGAGACCCCTCAGGAATCGAATCAGGTAGTCAGCTTCTTGTCTCTCAGTGTAAGCTACCACTGCATCACATGGATTTGGGTTTCCTGAAGCACAATTGCAGGGCACAATAGGATTGAACTGCAGGTACTCCTTCCATAACCCTTTAATTTCAGTGTAATATTGGTTAATGGTCTGAGTGCCCTGCTTACATTTGTGAATATCATCCTCCAGATTTGTTATTCTGATGGCATTTGGTTTCCCATATCTCCTCTTCAGTTCATCCCACAAAACTCTAGCATTCACATGACTCATTACAGACCTCCTTAAATCCTTGTTCAAAGAGTTAAGAATCCATGACAGCACAGCAGTGTTACAACCATCCCACAACAAGAAATTAGGATATGTTCTAGCTGGCATGGGTATAGTACCATCAACAAAACCCAGCTTATGCTTCATCTTCAGACCCATTATCACAGAACGACTCCACATAGTGTAGTTGTTACCATCAAAGACCTCAGATCCAATAGATTGATTTAAGACTTCATTTGGGTTCAGGTAGTAAGGATTACCGAAGGTTATGACATCGTTTCTGGATCCAGCAAAGAGTTGTTGTTGCTGCTGCTCATCAAACGATCCAAATTGGAAAGCGCGAGGACCAGTCCCATTTCCTGCTTGAGCTCCTTGGGATCCTTGAGAAGTATTTCCCGATGATGAATTTGGGCGACCCTGGGAACCCGGCGGCGTGTTCATGGCTGCCCTAGCTGCTTGACCGCTCTGATACCATAAAAGCCTTCTAGGTTTGGAGAATTGGCAAACCCTCAAACTAGAGAGTTGCCTCCTGATT